TATTTGAAGAATATCTTGCCCAACTCCATAAAAACTCCATCAATAGCGGCACCCTGCGCGAGGAAAAGTTTGACAATGTGTGCTAGGCAGAGCGACTCCTTTTTTTGCCTCCCCCACCACCTGTATCTTTTCAATCAAAATAACCTGGCTGGCTTCGTTGTTTGATGTTATAGACCAAATTAAATCCATCTTATACTTTCGTTGGACTTGAGTTTAAGGGTAAATCCAGTAAGATTACTGTGCACCGAGCACTTCATCATTTTTCATACAAAACTACGAATCACACTGAGCCTCAGAATGAAAGGACTTGCTGGAAACCGCACCAGTGAATTCTGAAATCGAAACCAAGAAATATATATTCCTACTCTCCTTAGAATTTCAAGTGGCCGCGCAAATACGGTACCGTTAGAAATTTACAGCAGCGTCATAATACAAACAGCACTTGAACACACGTTTTACGTTTGGATAGGAAATGTCCGAGGGAATGGAAGTCACTTCGCTGTGCAACTTACCACAACTTTCTGTTCCTTCGTTGCCATATCAATTGAAATTATTCGATTCTCTGGATCAACGCCTGGCTGTAGATGACACTCATTCACACAAAATATGTGAGTCTGAGAGGCGGAGAAGTCAGCATACCTGAACAGGGCTACAAATTAGTAAACAAGACTATTACCAATCACCTTTAATTAATTTTAACACAAATCAAACAAAAGTAGCAGAGAGAAAATCGTGACCAGAACTACTGTTTGAAAAACAGAAGAGAGAAGTAACTTTGTGAACTTAAAAATGCCAAAAATTTCAAATGCAAATGAGGGCTAGGCGGAAAGGAAGGCTGTTCATACTTTCTAGATAGTTCCCCGATATTATTTCGTTTAGGACCAATAATCTCCGACTTCGGCTGCTTGTGAAAATTTGTATTGTTCCAAGTGCCTGCTTTCGGAGCGATGTGTTACGGTTCTCATTCAAAGTTTCATAAATTGGTAGTAATCGCCAATACATACCGCAACTTTCTCTCGTTCCCCTCAGCCAACTGAACGGGAGGTGCTTCCTGAGCTAGTTGGTGAAAAACGCCGTCTATGGTGCTATATACGACAGAACCGTCGCTGAGCGGAAGGAATGAACCACCACCATATTCGTGAACTGTAACACATGTATCATAGAAAATATTCCATGTAAAAAGAACATCTGTCTCACCGCAATTTTGCACAGACTGCTGCGGAGCCCATCTGACCCGTGCTGATGACGGTTTTGAAGACTGGAAATAGAGCTCCCTCTTCCCAGTAGTTGCACTCTGTTCAACCCAAAAAACTCCATCTAAACAAGCGTCAGCAAATGAAGAATAGTATGAAAAATAAAGAAAAGGCATTGGAAAACAAAAACTGACCGTTAACTAATCAGTCATAACAAATTTTAAGAAGTTAAAGATCGCAAATTAAACACTCTTAAGGTGTCTCTAATGTCGCAGGAAGAAGCAGTTTTCAAAAATGTATTTGTAAAACTGTGGTTATAATTCAATCTTACAAAGTGCTACTGATATTCATTTCCGAAACTTCATCTTTGTAAATAAATCAAACCTAAACTTGATATAGGGCCTTCACTGTGCAACGAAACATGTATAATAATAAAACAGCACTGATCGATTGGATATGTAAAGGATAAAGGATAAAGCATTTGCCGTTGATCAATCCCTTTTTGGGATGCGGCACGCATTCTACTTCCATTTGTACATTCGTAGTGGCGTTTGAATGCGATGTGGCCTATACAATGACTTGCGGGGGCCAGCCGATACAAGTCAGTGTTTTTATCCTCCCAGACAAGTCTGGTACCAATTAACCGACCCCGGAGGGATGGAAGGATTGGATATGTATGGCTCAACAAAAGAAGCGAAAGACAAACCCCTACAGACACGTTCAGATGGTCTCCCCTGCCAAAAAATTTCGCCACTGAATAAGGTATCTGTTAGTCAGCTCCATCAAATTCCAGGCCGTTTTCAAATGAAACGCCGCTTACCATCGGTAGCTTGTAGTTCACAAATCGCCTTGCAGTTCCCCTTGGCAAAGAGATCAGGCGTAATGGTGCTCGCCCAACTGCCATATGGTGCTTCAACTGCCATTCTTCTTATGGTAGTTTGAAAGAAAGACACTAGAGGACGGAGAAAAATCTGCAAAAAAGCACTTTATGTGACGAAAATTGTGAAGTAGGAGACCAGCGAAAGCTCTACGAAAGCTCTGAACTTGTAAAGGATCGACGTGAAAGAGCATACACAGACGATCAAAAACATGATCGCAACAATGTCAACACAGGGTACACCGATCTGAAAGGTAAACAAGACGGCGACCTACTGACAGAAACCCAACAACCTATGACTTTAAACAGAATGTAAAAGTTATACAACCTTCTTTTCTACACGAGTGCATACTGCATATTTTCAAATATGCGAAGTAATAGGCGAATCTACCCCCGGGATCTCTCCTCTAGAAAAAGCTACTTTTCATCATCACGTAAACAGACCGGACGACCGCCTAACCCTTTGAAAAGAAATGGATGCGGACGTGAGGGGGGAGCCATAAAGTACATTATTATTTATTATTTTATTGGACATTAATAACTCAAACTAAGATGCGCCACGCCTGCGATTACCCTTCAGAACTCCGGGGCTTGAGTGCGTAAAGTCTGAGAAACGACTTCTGAAGATAAAATAATGTTCGCGTTCGTTTTACAACCTCCAGTGCCAACCATTCAGCCCAGCCTAGATAAGAGCTCCGGTGAAGTACTATTTGATCCCACTATGAAGCGCGGTAAGAAGCGCCTATTGCTATTGCGTGAGGTTGACATGGCGCCATAGTAAATAGAATTCCCACAGTCCTGCGAATATTTATGCCATACATGATCGTTGAAACTTTGACATTGGAAAAGACTTGCTATAAGGTAGAAAGACAGCGGGGATGGAGGACTGGGACAGCCGAATACCGACTGATGGCAACATCGTTACGCTACTCCAGACTTCATTAACACACTGGCGTCAATATCGCCAAACCCCGGCTGCCACTTCCTCTGTCGCATGGGATGGTCGTGCCCGATTCCGGGCGACTCTCAATGTTTTGATATGCGCAAACTTTTCCTATCTTTGACAACTTACTTATTTTCGAGGCACACTTTTACTAGTTCTGCGTGTTTCGTTGACTTGAATTGTATTACAATTAAAAAATAACACAAAGCATACAGCAAATAACGGGATGCATCAAAGTGGTCCAGCTAGGCAAAGGTTGAAATTTTGTATGAAAATGCTTCTTTACTGAAATAAGTAGCGTACCACTATAAATTCTGATGGAAAAAGATCTGAATTCTCAAGGAGTATGAGGTGAAAAAAGTCCTTAAGATGCTCGAGACTTGCTACTTGGCTAAAAAGTCATTTCTGCATCACTCAAAAAACAGTCAACAAATGATAGGAAGAAAAGAAGCTGTTATGGTTTCTTCACTAAATTTCAACTTGTGTCATAAATGTAGGCGTAGGTGATTCCCGATGGGCAAGATTTTCTTGTAGATCAGAAAACAGGCACGGTGCCACTCGGATGACATGAGAAAAATCACTAGTTCGTTAAAAATCAGGACAGCTGAGCCATCAATAAGTGGCCTCCTCAAAAACAAGCTCCCCTTTATCATAGCCGAATGTGTAAGGCTGGTGTCAGAGTCCGCGATCCGTCGCAGGTTTCGCGCGATTTCGCGCGATTTCACGCGATTCACGCGACGGGTCACGGAAATCACAAGTGCCCGATCAATACTGCAAGGTGTTCTCCAATCCCGCCGCCACTTCTGCTTGATAGTGATGGCTGAATGACGACTGCTCATGATTCCACTTGTTTCATATTCAGTGTTTCAAATGTTCAAATGGGCACTTGCAATTTTTGCGATCCGCGCGAATCGCCGCGAAACCTGCGACGGATCGCGGACTCTGACACCAGCCTAAGGAATCGCACTGCCCAGAATAATATGAAGACATAAGCCTTTTTATAACGAACCAATGAAGCAAATGGGAAAAGGAATGACCGAGATATCAGAAGGAATCCTTCTGGTACCAGTTTATTTTTTGCAGACGGTTATTCCTTTCTCACAGCGATTAATAACAATATCGAAGAGCTCATGCTGTGTATAAGGACGAAATAGTGATTAGAGACCATTACCGGAATAAATTATGTCCAGTCCAGCTTGCATTTCATCTTGGGAAAGGCCTGAATTTGTGGCGGAGCACTGAAACAAAACGCTAATTCCACCCGAGCTGCGTTTCAAGCAATCGCATCCAAGTCGGAAGTATCCACCTAACTTCATGATTTTGGACAAGAGGAGTGCCTGCCAAATCCTAGAGTATCGATTCCGCCATTCATTCAACTATTTATCATTTTACGGTGCTAAATGGTCCCATAAAGGATAAAGAATAAAGTATTTGCCGCATCCCTTTTTGGGATGCGGCACGCATTCTACTTCCATTTGTACATTCGTAGTGGCGTTTGAATGCGATGTGGCCTATACAATGACTTGCGGGGGCCAGCCGATGTACAAGTCAGTGTTTTTATCCTCCCAGACAAGTCTGGTACCAATTAACCGACCCCGGAGGGATGGAAGGCTTGGTTGGCCCGGGCGACTCACGACCCAGGATTTGATCCCCGGACCGCTCGCGTGGTGAGCGCGCCCTTGCCACTACACCACTTCCGCCCCTGCATTTAAAAAGTCCCATGAAAGCAGAAATAGAAAAAAGGGAATTGTGGTGAACAGAACAGATTCCTGAAGCATTGCCAAGATCACCCAAAAACAATCTCACAACGATCCTAAGAGACGCAAACACTGGAGAAATGACCAACAAGAGACTGGTTAAATGTGTGTAAGGCAGCTGAATCGCACGGCTCTGCCCACTCCATAGAGTGAAAAATCGAAATGAAAGCGGCCCCACTAAGCAGCTCATCGTTCACACAAGTAGTAAAGTTTGCAGGACTTGGAAAGCACTTGCACTAAAAATTAGAGGAACAATAGGGTGTGATCAGAAGGAAGGAGCTCACCTCAAGATTAGGAGAACAACAGGAAATGACTAGAAAAGAAAGAGGGAGCTAATTAAGCAAAAGTTACGTCAGATGCCCCGAATACTACACTTCAGAAGCGGTGAATCGATTTGCTGCACAGAAGTGAGATTAAGAGATTGAAGAAGAGCGTATGACCACTATCCGCTGGCGTCCTATTGTTTCGAGCTATGTACGTGACACCGTATAAAATGTGAATGTGGCCGGATGAATAAATACACGCTCGTGTGTAATCTGAAGCTATGCTTGGCAGTCTAGAGGATAGCAGCGGATGAAAAACGTGTCAAGAATTCTTCAGAGTTAGGAAATCGTAGAGAGGAAGAAGACACTCGCGCGAATCAGTCCCGAAGAGCGTAGCCGCCTCTCCTGTCAACTCAATGGCGGAGTAGATCACAAACTTCCAAGTGAATTATACTGCTATGTAGATAGCGGACTATCCAAGATAGTAACCAAATCCAGCTATGGGTTGTCACGATCTCAATACCGTGCCACCGCTCTACACTTCTACAGTAGAGTCCGGTAGCGGTAAGGAATCTATAACGACACCAAGTGATGAGCAAGTACTGATCTGCAATCGACCAAATGAGTACATTTCCGCGCCAAATTTCCCGTCCACGTACGTTATGAAAGGATCTTGCCAAAAAAGGCTGGTTTGAAAATGCGTCACGAGTTCTGTTGCAAGCGCAGTTCTATCGCAGGAGTATATTCGATATCCGAAAGCTGGGGGTCACCGAAGTGACGTGCACTTGATAGAAGCTATGTGGATAAGCTGCTTCCAACATACATCGCTGGATATCAGCAAAGCATGCTGGCAACAGCTTATCCACGCAACTTCTATCAAGTGCACGTCACTTCCGGTGACACGCCTATCAACTTCGATATATGACAGCTTGTTGGAAATTTTTAACTTCATGCCATTTTAATTTTATGGCGTGCTCAAGCACAAATAAATAAATAAATATCGGCTGTACTCCACGTAGAATAGAAGTGGTTATACAGTGAAGTTTAAGAAAAAAAGCCCGTAGAGCCGGAACGGTTTTGCGTGCATTTCTGCTTCTTCTCTCAGGCTTATGGTCAGAATAGACGTCCAAAATTGAGCGTTACCGCGTATCTGACGCAATGTTAACACTTTGGAGACCGCGCATGTTTCACGTTTTTCGGCGCGTGGGACTTCAGTGAAATTTTTAGGAATCTTATCAAGCAAATTGAAAGAAAATTCTACTGGGTGATGCAGAAGAAATCCTTATCGAATGCAATGGAAAAGAAAGCAAAGAAAAACTTGGCATTTGTTTCCGAAATGTGAGCTGAAAGGTCCTACGCGGTTGACGGACTGCAGCCCACATATGGGCTGCACGGGCTCCAAGGTGTTAAAGGTTGCGCCCATCGGAGCACATTGCGCCGAGGTCTCTACCGAAGGTTGCGAACACTCAAGGTTCAAGATTCAAAAATACTGTAAGCATGGCATAGCAATATTTGCGGCAAGTTTTCAAAAGAAAAAAATAATGCACGAAAAACCGTTTTGGTGGCGGCAGTTATGACTGCTGCTGAAAAATAACTCGAATAGGTCAGCATTCAGAATTTTAGTTATTATTCAATTATACTTAATTCTAATCTCAAAGCAGGGATGACTTCCTACAGGGGAAAGGGACTTGCTTGCAAGTTTTTTAACGGCACGATTACATTACGGAAGCTTTATCGTAAGATGCTGGCAAGGCACTCTTTCAGCCTTCCATGAAGGCAAAGGGCCTGCATCAGTTTATTTAGAAGAATTACATCGGCGGGAATCTCTTCAGAAAATTACACCAAAATCAGGAAAGTTCTCAAAGAAATTCTGATCAGTTCATCAAAAAAATGTATGAGAACCAATTCACGTGTGGTCTGGAACGTCATAATCTTACCAACACACCAATAATCAGCACTATCAGCTTATCTGGCGGAATACAAACAAAGCAATAAAAAATATTTGTGCCACCTAGGGAGCCAATGCTATGGAGCCATACTTATAATTTAATAATTTTATTGTTATTAACAAAGAAGACATTAA